ACATTAACAAAAGTGAACTAAGGGATCACAGAACTGCTTGTCTCAGGGCACGTGGGCAAGGATGGCATTTTTATTGTCCTGGTGAGAATTTGTGGCCAGCCTTTATACTTTTGTGTCGGAGAGCGTGTGCGAGGGAGTCATTCGCCACGAAAGCTTTTAGCATGGAGAGAAAGCGGAGCTGATTTCGGTACGGACTGCCTCTTATAGGAAGGCTGCTAATAAGACAAATTGGTTTAGCTTTAAGAAATTACCCTTAATTTCTCAGGATGAGGAATTACTGGCATAGCCAAAGTCCTCCCGAGAGAAGAGGTTCATTTCTTATGCCAGGAATTCGGGGATAACTGGGTTAGATACTTAGGTAAACAGAAAAAGGAGATGGGGGAAATCAAATAGATTGGAAATTCTGGACAATTACTCGGAATCTCCCATCACTAATGGGAACAAAATTGAATTTGACTCGAGATACTTGTTAAATTAGAAGTAACACGAGATTCCTGAAATGGGAGGTCCCCTTTGCAGAGACAAGCGGGCAGGCTCCGGGGCCGAGGTTCCAGCCGCCTCTGAGCTCCTCGGGCCCCCTGGTCTCTCCCTCCCTAACCAGTGCAGTGGCCCAGATAGGAGACACCACGGGATGTTGATGTCCCGGGTTCGAGTCCTGCAGGTCTCCTCTCCCCGGCTCACTCTGTGGCCACGCAGACCCTGGCTCCCTACTTCGTAAGGGTTACGTGGGTCCCCCATGAAAAGGGGAGAGTGTGTGCAAGGGTCCACCAGGGGGCTTCCTAAAATGCTTCAAGCCCCTCCTCTCCTCCTACCTCAGCCCTGGCTGCTTCTCACCCTCAGTCCTTATGAATCTTTCTCCCAACTGATCATCCTACGCAGTCCCAGCTTTTGGGGTCTAAGAAAGCTCTCATTTTGCCCTGGCTGGCATGGTTCAGTGGATTGAGCACTGGCCTGTGAACCAAAAGGTTGCCGATTTGATTCCCAGTCAAGACACATGCCTGGGTTGTGGGCCAGATCCCCCCCAGCTGGGAGCACATGAGAGGCAACCAATCGATGTATCTCTTGCACATGGATGCTGCTCTCCCTGTCTTTCTTCCTCCCTTCCCCTCTCTCTAAAAATAAAGAAATAAAATCTTTAAAAAAAAAAACCCCTCATTTTCAGTGTATAATTGGTGCCCAATAAGTCCACTGATTCCACTTACAACCAACACCAAAATTTCTCTTTTTTTAAAGATTTTATTTATTTATTTATTTATTTATTTATTTATTTATTTTTAGAGAGAGGGAGAGAGGGGGAGAAACATCAATATGTGGTTGCCTCTCACATGCCCCCAACTGGGGACCTGGCCCGCAACCCAGGCATGTGCCCTGACTGGGGATCAAACTGGCGACCTTTTGGTTCACAGGCCGGTGCTCAGTCCACTGAGCTGCACCAGCCAGGGCACAACACCAAAATTTCACAGTAAACAATGAAAAACAAAAATTGTGGCTGAGACTTCATCCTGATAAATGAAATATAACATGATGATAGTAAGTTTATTTACACATACATATATGCACATGTGTAGTGACACATATATATTATGACGTATTTTATATAGTATGAGAGAGGTATATACATATATATATACACACACTCACACAGAAAAACTTAGATTAAACTGTAACTCTGTGCAAATTCTTATTACCTCCAGTGAATCAAGTGCTCGCTTTTGCCGTAACTTTCCCCACCGAACTGTAAAAAGCCCTGCACGATATGTTTGGATTTCACAGCCCAATCACAGTGACCGAGATCTCTGAAGAGGCACTCAAGGACTCGATCAGTCTCGCAGGTGGTCTCTCCCATGCTTAGCTATTCGGTCGCTGACTCATGACATTGCCCAACATCCCCTGGAGGAAATCACCCTGGTTGAGAATTGCTGGTGCGCTGCCAGCTCCTTTGGGACAGGGATGGCCTAGACTAGGTGATAGTGGCTGTTTGCTGAATGAATAAATGCAGGGAGCAAGGGCAAAAAGATGGGAAAGGAGAAAGAATATGTCCTCTGAGTCCAGAAGAAGTATGGAGAGCATTAATGAGACTACGAGACATTTGAAAGAGCAGAGGAGGACAGTTGAAGTCCACAGTGAATTCAGAGATAAAGGTCACTGCTGAGAGGTTTAGAGGAAGAGCGAGGCTTGGAGTTTGAGGCGGTGGATTAAGAGTCAAAACCAGCCGTGAAGTCAGATGTGCCGGCTACTAGAATCTAAAAGGGAGCAGGGAGCTTACTGTTTTACTTTAACAGTCTTTAGCCTCTTTCAGGGGGAAAAAATATTGATTTTCTGTTGACAGTTGTTATGTAAAGTTTGATTTAAAGTGCATTTGTAAAGAAGCTGATGTAAAACATGAAGTAATAGTGGAATGGGTGGTATGAAGATGGCATGCAGAGGACCGAAGTTTGGAAATAAAAGCTGTGTCCCGGCTGACGCTGGAGCTCAGGACTTGCTCCACTTCTCCTGTGAGGCCTGTCCCTGGGACCCCTCTGCCCTTGCTGCTGCCAGCTCTGTCGTCGCGTACCAACCCCTGGTGTCAGCCCTTCCGCCAAAGCCTTCGCTGTAGTCCAGGGAGACGCTCTGCCCGCCGCCACACACGAAGGGGCTGCAGGTCAGCCATGGGTCTGTCTACTCTAAACACCTAGGGCACCGAGGGAGCCCTCCCTTTAAATGCCTTCTAGCTACTCCTTGGCTGGGTTTGGCTCCCCAGCCAGGTGCAAAAGGCCCTTGCAGGTAGGAGCCATTCTTCCCTCCCTGTCCCCAGAAAAGGGCGTAGGGACCTGGGGAATGTGTGTCATCCCAGGAACAAGGGCCATCAGAGCCAGTCATCTACTTAATTTCCAGTTAATGACCGGATAATGACTTCCCTGTCTCTGTGGGAGGGATCTCAGTGACACAGGGCTTTGGTATCTAAAAGCCATTCATTTGATTCCTTTGGGTGTTTCTAAATGAGTCTCCAGGAGATAATGTATGTAAAGGTCTTGCTCTCCACATTCACGTACCCTGTGGTAGGATTTCCACCTTGGAGACACACAGAAAAGATGCTGGGATCCAGGATGGCCTTCGCTCTTTGCTCCCATCCTCACCCCTCCAGATCCAGCAAGTAAAGTGGGCTGAGAGAGTATGGTTGGACGATAGGAGTCATTTAATTTTCATGACTTAAAAACAAAAACAAAACAAAACAGAAACCTTGAACTGGGGTGGGGGAGTCAGGGAGGAGGAGCCGGCAGAATATCATTCTTCAAAATAAACAGAAGAGGAATCCCTGATGGTGCACAGCTTCTTGGAGGTCCAGGAATAGCGGGTACAGGCTGTTCTGTGCTGATGGTTTCTGAACCAGTGTTTAACACCCAGCAACATTAACTCCGCGTCTTAATCAAGGCTGAGGCGCGATCAGCCAGCCTTAAAGCTTCCCCCCACCCCCCGCAACCCAGAATTCACTCTAAGTACTGTAGGCTTTTTTTTTTTTTCTTAAGTCCTCGGCACCACAAATTGCACTTAGCAACTATCCAACCATATTATTTCCTTCCTGTCTAATGTAGTTTTTCTGGGTTTTTTCTATATAAAGAACTCCAGCTCTCTTTTAAAAATTATCCTCCCTCCCAAATTAACCTGGCTTTTATTTGTTTTTAACAAAGGTGCTAAGAAACTGAGGCAGTTCCTCTCACAAGCTTCCAAGTGACCAGATGTAAAGATTTTCCTCCACAGCCATCCTTCAAAATGTCAAATTGTCTGTTGGGGGTACAAGGGTGTAGACTATGGGAGGCAGAGAGCTTATCCTGAGAGCAGAACCAGGTAGTTCGTCCAGTAAACAAGACTCATCTGGATGTAACCGCATGCCATTCATTCCCTCCTGCCCCCTCACTTTTTAGCCTTTCATTTATTTATGCAGCAAATCCATGTTCTGTGGGCACATTACTATGTAGGGGATCGCTGAGCAAGTCTGACAAGAACCTCACCCTCTGAGGCCTACAGTCTAGCAGAAGCTGAACAGATAAACTAGATGATTTCAGTAATTCACGCATTCCCCAAGCAATTATTGGTTATTGTGCTTTCCAATAAGTAATCATTGAGCCTTTATTATAGGCAAGGTACTGAAAATCACTTTTCAGCAAAGCAGACAAGATCCTTGTCCCCAAGGGCTTCAGTTGAGTGGCACTTGAATAAATAAGCAAGATGATTTCTGAGGGCGATAAGTACTACGAAAAAGACAAGAGAATGTCCTGATGGAGGAAGTAGGTGTTGGGGGACCCGCTGGGGAAGGGTGATGGAGGGAGGCCTCCCTGTGGGTGACATCTGACCTAAACCCAGGGCCATGACGCTTCTCCATCTGTCCACCCAGCTTCCTTGCTGCCTGCCTACCCCCTTCGATCGGGCATTAATCATACTGTCTGATGTTAGCTTTTCGTTGTCAATTTGTCTTCCCCTCCAGGGGTCCTCATTTCTGGGAGAGCAGGTGGAATAAGCACAGAGGTGAAGGACTGGCAGGCTGGATGACGTTGGAGTCCCAAAGCCCGGGCTGAGATAGGAGATGGGAGCCATTGATGAGCGGGGCGCCAAGAACATTTGCCCAGGTGAACACTGCAGGGACCGTCCATGCAATCGGGCCGAGCGCAGCTGTCGACAGGCGTCGCAACGCAAGGCGCGCACGGACGGGGCGGGTTTGCACCGGCCAGGCGGGCGAGGCGGGGGCACCCGGGTACACGCTGGGCCTTGCCCAACTCCGCACAGAGGTCAGCGCTCCCCGCGACGCCCGCGAGGGGGCGGGCCAGCGGCCGCGTGCCGCGCCTGCGCAGCACAGCGCCCACGCCGGCGGCTCCAGACGCTGCCCCCGGAACTGCGCCGACGCGGTGCGCCCGGCGCTAAGGGGCGGGGTTTTGTTGCGCCGCGCGCAAGGCTGGGGCCTAACCCGGGCCGGGATAGGGCGCGGGGCAGTGCGTCGGGACGTCCCTGGCGTCGGGCCCGACGGCGCGTGCGCGCTGCGCGGCCGGCAGGGTGCCTAGGGGGCGGGGCGGGGGCCTGTCTGGCCTCTTTGCCTCCTTTCGCCGCCCGGACACCGCGTAGGCCGCCGGCACCATGAAGATCTGGACTTCGGAGCACGTCTTTGAGTAAGTTTGGGGAGTGGGGCGGGCCGGTGGGCGCTACGGGGCAGCCGTGGGGTGTAGGAGGGCAGGTCGGGCCTGGAGTGGCGGCGAGGTCGAGGCGACCCTCAGGAAGCTTCCAGACGTCGGGCCTAGTCGGGGAGCGTAGTCTGAGCCCCACGGGGTTCTGGGGCTCCCGCGCCGCCCTGCGCCCCGGGAACGGGCCCCCAGGGGACAGGGCCCCGACCTTCCAAGCCCCGCCGCGTCCCGGCCCGGAAGGGGGCCAGAGGCGGGGCCTTGGCGGCCTGCTCCCCACTGGGGCGGTGGGAGCGTCGCTGAGCACGAGGTCCTGGACGACACTCGCGGTGCGAGCGGCCCCCGGGTGGCACCCCCGGCCTTCCGAAACCCGTGGGACGCGGGCCCGAGGATCCCAGAGGACGCGTGGGCGTTGTCAAGCGCCCGCCGCCCCGCCGGCTTTTGGGTGGAGGCCCTTTCCTCGGAATGTGACAGATAAGGGCAGCGACCAGGAAGCGAAGCTCGGGAGGCTCGTTGCCTTAAGGAAGCGAGAGTCCTGGAAGGGGAGTCCAAGGTTCAGCGCTGGCTCCAATGGGCCGCGTGTCCTCGCTCACCCGTCCCCACCTGCGACGTGGAAGGTGGAGGCCTCAGAGGCCGCGCTCACTGACATCTCTGGTTTAGCAGGAATTTTTAGTAACGGACGCGAATGGGCCTAAAGTCAGCGGGACGTTGGGAATTAAATTTCGCTCTGGGTCCGTGATTCCGTGTGCAGGGGAACCACCCATCCAAGCGGGCCTGGCGTCGCCTAAGTAGTTAACCAGTCGCCCTGGCGCCCTTGACTGTCCTGCCTCCTCCCCACTTGCCCGGAAGTGTGCCGGCCGACCTGCGGGTGCGCCCCTTTCTGGGCGCGCCGCTCCGTTCCGCTGCGCTTGCTCCGGCAGCCACACCGGTTTGACGTCCGTAGCTCTGCAGTGTATTTTCCTTGCCCCGCTCGGCCTTAAGAAGAGTCGTAAACCTTGCGCTGACCTGGTGATGGGGACACGTTCGAGTCCACTGGGTCCTGGCGAGCGCGGCGGGTTAGAACGGAGGGAAGCCTCCTTCCTGGTCCGTTGTCGCTCTGGGGGAAGGCCCAGAATTTGTAGGGTGGTCTTCAGCTGGGTTGCCCTGGGCTGCGAGGTGCGGGGCTTTTTCCCTGTGATCCGCTTGCGGTTTAGGTGCCTCACCCGTCGGCCCTGCACCTCCGAGGCCGTTCTCCGCCGCCTTCCCTGACACGCGGGCAGGCCACCCGTCTGCGCGCTCTGCCCGTTCTTCTTCCCCTTCGCTGTAATGTCCAGTGAGGCCCTGTCGCTGGCCTTGCCTAGCAGTTCATCCGTGGTCCTTAACCTTCTCTGTTTTCCCTCGTTGGCACGGACTTTACTGGGATGTGAGGGGGCTCCGAGGCTGGGTCCTGGCTCTCCCCAGGCGACCGCGGCTGCTTGGCCGGCCTGGCCTGTGCCTCAGGCTCCAGCCCTTCCTAAACTTGGGACCCTCACTTGCGGGTCCTGCCAGACATCTCTGCTCGCGTGGCCCACGGTCTCCTCAGCCTCCGCGGGGGTGGAACCCCGTCTGCCTTCAGGAGCGTCACGCCGTTCCCCTCTGTGTCCCACCTTGAGGTTGTGACTGTCTAACAGTGACACCTGCGTCGTCGTCCTGTGTCTCCCGTCGCTGGTTCCCACGCTACCTCCCTAGGCCTGGCACGTGGCTGCCGTCCATCCGGAGTCATTCGTTGACGCCCTTGGCCACTCCGCCGGCCGGCGCTTGCTCCGGGCGCCGGTCCGTGGGTCGGAGGACCGTGTCGCTGCCTCATTGGAGTCTGCGGTGTCTCCCGCCTCCTGTGACAGGGGAGGGAGCTGGGCAGGTCAGGAGCTGCCGCCAGGCTCTCCGGACTGCCCTCGGGGGCTGTCTTTGCATGCCTTCCAGCGCGGGGTCTGGTCGCCCGCCCGGTGACACTGGCCGTTAGTGGCAGGAAGACGGCCCGCCCGACAGGCCCTCTGTAAGGTTTGCGCGCGCTGTGTTTCATGGAGCTGCCTTAGTTCGGGGTTAGTCCGCATCACTCCGGAGGGCGGCGGGGACCCGATTGCTAGTGTGGCGCAACCGCCCCAGCCGCCAGCCCCGCGTGGCCGGAGCAGGAGAGGGTGTTCAGCTTTCACTTCAGTTTCCCTGGGAACAGTGAGCGTGCGGCGGGTGTGGCCCCTATTTGTAGGGACTGTTTAGATCAATGAAGTAGCTCCGCTTCCATGTCTGCATTGATTGCTGGGAAAGGGCCTGAGATTACAAACAATGAGGTTCTAAATTTGCATAATATTGTAGCAAAATGAAAACATTACAAGGAATGTCACTGGTGTTGTCCAGGGTTCTGGGAAGGGGGTGGTATTGAGATTTTCCTTCTGTCGACCTGATGTGGTTGTCAGGCTCAGTTCTCTGAAAGTTGCCACCTTCCCTATTCAGTTTGGTTAATAGGGGCTCTTTTGAAAAGGACGTCTTCTGTGCGGCATCTCATTCACGTAAATTGCGAGGTGCACAAATGTACATCGTGTTTGAGTCACCCGGGCACGTGTGCTTTTTCAAGGGAGAAAGGAGTGCAAGTTCCATTTCAATCCTAGAAAATAAGCAAATGCTTATTATATGAAAAAAAGATTATTAGAAAATAGCCTATCAGTAGCATCTTTAAGGCATTTTATTATAGTGAGTGACCTTTTCAAAACAAATCAGAATCACTCCTTAGAGCAAAGCAATGGACAAAGATTGGAGGGGGTCACTGCTGTTACCTTAAAATAGAGAAAAATACATTTCCAATATGACCTTTAAATAATATTTTGAATCTTTGTAATCATTGTAAGAATTTATAGTGCATGTAAGTTACTGTACTTTCATTACTTTATAGCTTCACAGAATTGGGGTCAGCCAAAAGAATGAATAGTATAACATTTTTGCTGCTTGTTTCTGTAGACATAATTTTTAAGTACATTTTTATGAATTTGGTTCTTAGAAACAATTTACATGTGAAAGTGGACATGGGTAAATAGGAAAGATTGTTTAAGAAATTGTAGTGTGATGCTGTATATGCTGTTTTAATCTTTATAAAAATTAATTGTACTGTATAACCTGTATGCTGAACAAATACTGAAACCTATATATGTTTAAAATGTAGATTGAGTCCTCAAAATTATCTTTCAGTGTGTCAGAAAATAATTTTCCCTAGGTTAACTTCAATTGTAAAGAATAATTTGATGGGTTATAAAACCGGCCTAATTTATATGCATGTCGTTCAATGTTTGATTGCACTTTATGTTGCAGCCACCCATGGGAAACTGTTACGACAGCCGCAATGCAGAAATACCCGAACCCTATGAACCCCAGCGTGGTGGGAGTTGATGTGTTGGACAGACACGTAGATCCTTCTGGAAAGTTGCACAGCCATAGGCTTCTCAGCACGGAGTGGGGACTGCCTTCCATGGTGAAGTCTGTAAGTGCATCTTTATTCCTGCAGAAATGTGACTGCTGGGGGGAACTTTCCTAAACCACATTGTAATTTCAAATAGGCTGCGGGAGCGGGTTCTGAATGTCATTTTTGCATCAGTTCAAATTGTATTATAATAAACTTGAGTTATGAGTGTATAATGAATTGGAAATATTATTACAGTCTTCATGAAGGCACCCAATAAAACTTTCTGAAGGAAGCCAGCTAATGCTCTGTGATCTCAAGTGGGCCATATTCTGCCTTTCCTGCTTTGGCCAGCAACTTGAGACCCGTGGTGGGGTTCAGAAGTAACGGTCTGGGGGGTGCTAGCTGGCAGTCACGTGCCCATGGAGAGAGCGGCATGTTCTTGGACTTCGCTATCGTTCCAAGGTCTAGTACTGCTCCCCCTATGTTTAAAAACATAATTCTATTCCGTTACAATGAAGCAGGCTTCAGTGATTCAATTAAACCAGCAAGAAACTGGAAGGCCAGTTTAGAATGGGGAAGAAGTCTGATAGGATAAGCGGACCCCGTTTTCAGTAGAGGCCTCCTTTCTAGAAGGCGGGTCCATGAGGAAACTAGCACTGTTTTCAGCAGGAACGTAGCGCTTTGGGCGGGCCCTGCATTCAGCGGTGGGAACACAAATGCGCGCGACAGGGTGAGCGGCTTGGCGTCAGAGCACGACCTGATGCTCACTGGACGGGACGCCCTCCTCCGTGAGCTGTGCTTTCCTGCCTGGAGGGGGGCGCCGTGGCGCCGGCCCACGGACAGCTCTGGGCCCACGCTGGGCCCGTGGCCGCCGGCCCGCGCGCTCTCCCTGTGCTGCGTCCCCGGTTCCCAGACCCCCAGCGGCGGGCGTCCCGGACTCGGTGCCCCTTCGTCGCCCCGCAGGCTCAGCGCCCTGCCCTCCCCGCAGCCCCCTCTCAGGGGGCCGCTGGCTCCCTGCCTCACGGCTGGGGGGCAAGGGGGGCGTTGTGTGGGGTCGCTCTCGTCCCCGGGGTGTGCGTTCCGCCCCTCTCCGGCGGTCTCCTGTCTGCCCTCTGTCTGATGCCTCATGTTTCTTGTTTTTTATGAAACAGATTTTTGATTCGAGACTTTAACACATTTTACTTTCAAATAAAATATTGATATGCTTGTTAAGAAATCCTTCCTCCTCCTCTAATTACTAATTGTGGATTTTTTTTTTAGCTTATTGGTGCAGCGAGAACCAAAACATATGTGCAAGAACATTCTGTAGTTGATCCTGTAGAGAAAACAATGGAGCTTAAATCCACTAATGTAAGTTTCGATTTCCTTTTGTTTTTGTTTTGAACTATTTGGCTTAAGTTTTTGTCTCTAGCTCTTTGTTGGGGTTTAGGAAATCAGTGCTTAGCTGTTGTGTTGTCTTTGCCTGGCAGCAGCTTAGCCTCGCTGCTTGCTGCTCCTAGGGGACAGCTCTCAGTCAGCAAGTTTGGGATTACGTGTGTGACCTTACTCTTGTAACATTTTTCAAGCTCCTTTTTTTTTTTTTTTTTAAGGTTTTATTTATTTATTTTTAGACAGAGGAGAAGGGAGGAAGAGAGGGAGAGAAACATCTATGTGTGGTTTCCTCTCACATGCCCCTTACTGGGGACCTGGCCTGCAACCCAGGCAGGTGCCCTGACTGGGAATCGAACCGGCGACCCTTTGCTTCGCAAGCTGGCACTCAGTCTGCTGAGCCACACGAGCTGGGGCTCAAGCTTATTATTTTTTAATAAAAAGTAAGCAATGAACAGTGAAATTTAAACTCTACTTACACAGTAATATCAAAGTGGTTTATTGTTTCGTATATTTAGCTAGCAAGATTTGGGCTTGTGAATTAATTTTGAAAATGTTTTTTATCTTGGTTTCCAAAATGATTTGGGTTTTTGTTTTTTTTTTAATTTCTATAGATTTCTTTTACAAATATGGTTTCAGTAGATGAGAGACTTATATATAAACCGCATCCTCAGAACCCAGAAAAGTAAGTAAAAAATGTTTTAACAAACTTATTTTACTGTTGTTTTCATTCTTTTACCAAATATTTCTTGAAAAAATGACAGTGAGGCCATTCTGAGGCTGTGTGACTCTGCTTTGTTCCAGAACGGTCCTGACTCAGGAAGCCATCATCACGGTGAAGGGAGTCAGCCTCAGCAGCTACCTGGAAGGGCTCATGGCCAGCACCATCTCCTCCAACGCCAACAAGGTGCGCGGGGGGGCCCCCCCGGCGCTGCCCCTCTGGCCGCTGCCGCTTGGGGGAGCTTAGCTCTGGCCATGTGTGTGGCCTCACCGGCTGACTCTGAGCGCTGCGGCGTGGCTCCACAGGCTGTCACGTGCACAGGCTCTGGGGCCCAGCACACCTGGGGGTTCACGCCTGAGCTCTTACTCTTGCCAGCCTTTCAGCCGTGGGCCCTTACATTAACCTTTCTGTGCCTCAGTTTACCATCTATGGAGCGGAGATTCACGGCCCGTCTCATGGGTTTAGGCATGAAGAGTAAATGAGGTAACATGGAAAGTGTATGGCCTGAGGCCCAGCACATGGGACAATTAATGACATGTTGCCACATGTCCCTGTTTAAAAATGGAACTGTCAGCGTTTTTCATTATTCCCCCCTCCTAGATCCATTGCAGACTTTTTTTCCTAATGTCCCTGCCGCATACAGGCATTGAACACATAGACAGGCAGACAGGTAGGCTTTATACATAAAAAAGGGAGTTTTCCCTGTCACCACCTAGCTAATGTTTGCCCCGCTGAGAATGCACGATTTAAACTAAGTTTAGAGAACAGGATGCTTAGCGCACTGTTTTATAACACAGTGAATGCAATCGCTCAGCGGTCGGAAGACACTTACTCGTAGGCGCCGTCTCTGTGCCAGGCAGAGTGCGAGGCTAGGCTGGAGATCCAGCGGGAAGTGACAGACACGTGGTTCCTGCCCTTGCGGGACCGAGGAAGGCACCACTGACGGCACATCCCATCGTTAGGAAAGGAGAAGGGCAGGAAGGCGTGGGGGTGTGTAACGAGTGTTCACAGAAGGGTATTTCCGTTGAGTTCGGGAGGAGGGGCGCGGCGGAGCGGTCGGGAGGGCTGTGCAAGAAGCATTCCAGACAGGCCGCGAGGGCACAGGGGCCCCGAGACGGGGGAATGGAGTGCTGCTTTTTCTTCTTCGGGGAGCCGTGTGGGGCGCCGGGCGAGGGTGGCTGAGGGAGTCCGGCCAGATCTCTCCAGGTGTTGGTTTAAATCTTTAGTTTAGACCTTGGATGGGATTTTGGTTTAAAATACAGACATAAAAAGAAAAAGGGGGCTTGACCTCACCTCCAAAAAGGGGGCGGCTCTAATCACTGTCATTGAATGACAGATTCTTTTGAGAACATCTTTTGCATACAAAATAAAAATCAGTTTATAAATGAAAGCATTTGATATTTGGTAAATAACATTAGGAAGAAGCGGCAAGGACAGAACAGCCCGTGCCGGTGAGGTTAGGTATTACACGCAGTGCTCCTTGCCGCTCCCTGATGTGCTGTTTGCTTGCTACACGCCTTTGCTCTCACTCGGTAACAGTCAGCGTGTTGGATTTTTTTAAGGGCCGAGAAGCGATGGAATGGGTGATTCACAAACTAAATGCGGAGATTGAGGAATTGACAGCTTCAGCAAGAGGCAGCATAAGGACCCCGATGGCGGCGGCGGCGTTTGTAGAAAAATGACGAGCGTTGGTAGGCGACACCCCGCTCCGCGGATCTCGACTAGCTGGCATTGTATTTATTCATTATTTAAAAAATACAACGAAAGTAAAGAAAAAAATGCAACTATATTTTAGGTAGAATTTTCTTTTTTTAATAAGCTGAAGAAAGGTTATGTGACTTGATAAAAACAGATACAGGGATGCTAAATAAAAGGGAACATCTGAAGTTATTAGTGTTGTTTGAAATGACTCTGGTTTTGAAGACTGCAATATTGACGTGAAAATTTAACAGTTTTTGAAAAGTGCTTGGAAATTGGTGTTAGCACATTACATCTCTTTCAGGTAGAATTTCCAAGCTTTTCATGCACCAGAATTCTTCCCTGGCCTTGGACCAGCCCCAGGACAGAGCAGAGCTGCCTCCACACAGACATAGTCGCCCTGCAGTGGGAAACCTTAAGGGGGATCTCGCATTCAGAGGGGAAATGGTCTAGTTTTAAAAGATATATTAAATTTGTATAAAATAGCCTGCTCTGCTATAAACCACCTCTAAAGACCAGTGTTTTAATTTGGTACTTAACTGACATTTTCGGAGTGAAAATTATCCCTCGAGTATAATTCCAACAAAAGTAGGATTTTATTCTGTTAACAAGTACTGCGTTGATTTGCCAAAGTTTTGTAACTTAGTGAAGGTATTACCTTCCTTGGATTTGTACTTTATGAGTTAGTATTCAGTGTCGTGGGCTGGTTATGTTAACTGAAAAAAATAAAGTCATTACCAGAATTTTGCAGCACTCTGAACTTAAACAGCAGAACAGCTGTTCACATCTTTGAGCTTTTCACATTTGCCTAACTTATAAATTGCCATGTGTCAAAATCATGGTTCTGTAATTGCTAAAGCATGATATGTCAGGTTATTTGAATATAATTACTTTTTGAAGTAATTGTGACCACAAAACATCTTTGTTACATGAAGAGCTGTACATCATTTGAAATTACTGAAATGATGTCTTGATCGGAGGCATAACTCCCAGGTACTTGATGTTTTTAATAATAGTGTGCCGCTGCAGGGGTGGGGGCGGCGGGGCGCGGGAGCGGAACAACGGGGAGGAGAAGCATTGACCTGCGCTAACCGCTGCGTGAACTGGTTTGCAGCCTTTATTTACAAGACATCCTCACTTCGGTGCCAAAGGGCAGCTGCACTCTGGAAAACAACCCAGTGAATGTATTTCATTTCATATTTTATAGCACTTGTCAACCAGTAAAAAATATCTTTGATACTTGCAGTTGTCGCTTAGTATTTTCGTTAAAAGGTGATTAGATCTTGCCTTTATTTCACAGTGCTTAATGTGATAAATTTCTAGTCAGGTTTCCTGTAAAAAGAAACCAGGTAACATGTACATAAACCATAGGAATAGTGTACCAAACTACGGAAAAATTAGTGATTCTCTACTTAAAATACTGTTTAGCTTAATACTTACTAGGGCATTTGTAAAAACAAATGACATTCAGTAAGTTTTTTGATTATTTTTTGTAACCAGAGATGGTTTTTACAGTTGAAATAATTTTCAGCTAAATACTGATATTTAATAAAAATTGCCTTGTATAATTTCTGTGAATTATACTTGTTCTGAGAAAGGTGTAATGAATGCCCGGATGATAAAAAGATTTAACAAATTTTATTTTGTTCGATTTTTTTTTTTATTCTGATGTAATGATAAAATTCTCTGAATTTTTATATTCCTATGTAGTTACTCCTTTTAGTTAAATAGCTGGTATTTATGGTTTTTACTGGAAAAAATACAAAATGCACATTTGAGAGGACTGCACTTGAAGAGGGTTCATAGACTAGATTCTTGGGCCAGAGCATCCTAACTTATTTGATACTAAAATTGGATCTTAGGCAAATTAAGAAGAACCTTTCTTGTTAATAAAAACTTCCTTTTAACCATGGTGTTTCCTGATTATCTTTTTTTTTTTTTTTTTTAGATTTTATTTATTTTTAGAGGAGGGAAAGGGAGGGAGATGGAGGAAAAGAAACATCAATGTGTGGTTGCCTCTGTCACACTCACATTGCGGATCTGCCTGGTAACCGTGGCATGTGCCCTCACTGGGAACCAAACTAGCGACCTTGTAGTTCGCAGGCCAGAGCTCAATCCACTGAGCCACCCCTGCCAGGGTTGATTATAATCTTTTTAAGTGTGAAGAGTAAAGTGTACATTTTTCCTGCTAAGACTACGCTTAATTGCCATGAGCTCTGACCCAGCTCAGCTGGTGGGTTGAGGCTCCTTCCGGAAACTGAACGCGCTAACGCTTAAGTCCCCTTGCCTCTGGGAGGTCTCCCAGCCTCCGACCTGATCCCCCCATTTGTACGCCCCCCACCCGCCTTTGCTGTGCCCCTGTCCTGGTACACAGCATGCGGTTCTAAGGCCCCGGAAGGTGTCCTGCCAGTTCCCTTGTTCACTGTAACAAGGATGTTTGAGTGTCACGTTGGGATCCCGGGGTGGGGGGAGGGCGCCCCAACACCAGCCTCGGTCGTGGGTTAGCGTCTCGCGCCCCTGAAACCTCACAGCCTCGAATTCCTCCAGCTCCTCTCTTGCCCCTGTCGCCCCGCCCGAGAACTATGGGGGCACACGGGCGCCCGCCGAGCCAATCGCCAGGCGTAGCTGGCCGGCCCGCCCGGGGATTGGCACTCGAGGCCCGGGCTGCGCGTCCCTATTGGCTCCCGGCGCCGAGGGGTTCCAAGGCGGGGCAGCAGGGACTGTTCCGCAGGGCAGGGCGGGGCCAAGCCGACGGGATTGGCAGGTCCCGAGCCCCGCCCCTTCCGCTTCTCAGACCTGACCTTCCGGCCGCTGGGTCGCGCGTTGAGCCGACATTCACGCGTCCTAGCGATTCGATCCGACAAGCCCCCTCTCGTGACATAATGGTGGCCTATTGGCGACAGGCTGGACTCAGGTAGGCCCAGGCCCCGAGAGGGGCGCGCCGGGAGGGTGCGGGACGGCCCGGGGTCGGAGGTCACGCGGGCGCGGCGGGGGTCGGCGAGCGATCGCGCCAAGATGGCGGCCTTGCGGGCGAGGGAGGCAGGGCGCAGCCGGGGGTGCAGGCGCGTTCGTGGGGCGCTCTGCGCGCAAGCCCCGCGTGCCTGCCTGCCTCTGGGTGCAGGTCTGCACCTGGCGCGACGTCGCCGACGCCGGGTGGGGGTCACCCGCGACGCTTTCGCAGAAACAGCGGTTCCTGGATGCAGGGCCTTTGCCCTCTCCGGTTGTAAAAGTGACAAGTGACGTAAAACTTGGGAACTTCAAGGACTGGGGAGCGTTCTCCCGAGGTGACCACGGTCAAAAGATCTTTTGATCTTTTCAGCGTCACAATGGGGCGTTCGTAAGGGTGCACAGTTTTTATTTCATTTTGCATTAACTCCTGATGCTCTTACCTGCAGAGAGCCCTGCGCACAGGCGGTCTGGCTCACGAAAGCCCCAAAGTGGGACCCACGGCAGGACATAGCATCTAGTGTAACGGGGAAGGTGTCCGTCTAGGTTTCTTTGACCCCATCACACCTGTCACCCAGGCGAGCGAGCGCAGTGCCTTGCTCCAGGTGCTACACCGTCTTACGTGCCGGCGCAAAGGCGCTCCTTCCGTGGTGACGATCTGTGGGTGGAGGCCCGGGAGACCCCCGAGCAACCCAATCTTCCCAGCTTGTGAGGTCAAGCCAAGTTTTGCAGAATCAGGAGGCTGATCGTTCGGGAACGGGCTCCATTTATTAAGCACCTACTATGTGAGCGACGTGATGACTCACACTTTTCACACTTTGTCTCTCCTCCTCCCACCCACTGGTGGGGCAAGTATAATCATCGTCTATTTTATTCTATTGTTTCTCTGGGTGAATAAACGAGCTGCAAAGATTGAACAGCCTGAAGGTCACCCAATTAGTAAGAGTGGAAGCAGGCATTGGAACGCCTACCTCCTGGCCAAAAAAAACCCCAAATCTGAAACACAAGAAAAGAGGCAGCAGCGCCCTCCCCCAGCCCCCTGCCTGTTTTCAAAAAGTGTAAAAAGTGAGCTGACATCTTCTGGAAAATAAGATGTTGATGGGAGTCCGTCTACCAAACAGGAAGCAGGCTGTTAGATATTTTGCTAGATTTGATGATGATCTTCTCAAAGGACTTTGCAGTTTAATTTGGAAACCTTGATTGGGAAGTATGTTTAATGGCAGACTTGTGAAACAGAATCCAATATTCTCAGGAAAACTTTTAAATACTTAATCAGAGGAAGAACTTTTCATTCAAAATAGGGTTTTTTTCCCCTTTTAATTATATACTTGTAAGAATAATGTAAGAAAAAGTTTTAAGTAGGGAAACAGGGGGGATCCTTCCAGTTATAGACTCCATAAACATTTTGCTCTATTTTCTTCCCTGCCTTTGCTCTATTTTTTTTAAAACTATGTATGCATCTTTTATTTTAAATGAATGTGTATTAAAGAGGAAAAACAGTATAAAGTAAAAAAACTGAGGACCACCCGTCCTAACATTAATTAAGACTCTGGTGCATTTCTTCCTAGTCTTCTTTTTCTTTGTACAGATTCTTTTTGGTATTAAGTCATTTCTAAATCCAGTTCTATAATAATATACCATCAAACCAAAATTTAAAATACATGAATTAAAAACCAGTTACACAATCAGTCTGGCTGGATGGTCGGTAATGAAATGCGTGCCGTCTCTCGTCCTCTCCCAGCTACATCCGATACTCCCAGATCTGCGCCAAGGCGGTGAGGGATGCACTGAAAGCAGAATTCAGAGCAAGCGCTGAGAAGACTTCCGGCAGCAGCGTCAAGATTGTGAAAGTGAAGAAGGAATAATGTGTAAGTTCTGACTGATTGAGAAGAGTTGCATCTTAACTATTTAAAGTACTTTTAAAAATCAGAGTAATTCTGGTTTCGAACTGCATCTGTTTTTTGGTCAGTCGGTGCCTGTAGAAGGTAGTGGGGTGACAGTTTGAAGCCATGGGTCACACAAGCCCCAAGGCACATCAGAGAGTGGTGTCTGGGGCCCTGAGGAGCAGAAGTGATCGGCACGTTGATTGGCAGCTCGTTGAGCAGTGCCTTGGTAGAAAGCCATCTTATTTTAATTAAACTTGTTTCACTTGCACAAAGTCAAATAATTTGGAGGATAAACTCTCATTTTCGTAATTGCTGTTGCAGTTACATAACAGTTCGGGAGCATGAAAAATTACAGTTCTTTGTGATTGTGTTTCCCCCACACCTGCTGGTGTTCTCACAAATCACTGCCTACGGGGAGGGCTGCGAGTCCGGCCGTTGGTCAGGCCGGGGGCCCTGCGGTGAGCGCTCTGGGCTGCGTGCCCTGGGCTCTCTGCGCAGCCGCTCATCTCTCTTCTCCGAAGGTCTGGGCAACACGAAGTTAACATTCTATACTGAGCAAAACAGTTGGTAAGACTTGTGTGCTCCAAACTGCTAAAGTGATTTGCTCTCCAAACCACTTTTTGGATAGTTATGTCCAAGGTAAGCAAGGGAGATTACCAGAGAGATGTTTTCCAGATTGCATTTTCCTGCTTTGTGTTTTAAAAAGCTTCAGACCTGCAGTAGCAGGGAAACATGATAAATATTAATCCTTTGGCAGCTTGTGGTTATGAGCAATTTTACTTATTGGAACTGTCTCCCCTAAGCACTTTTCATTTTCATTTTGAATTAGTAAATATTTTATTATGAGTCTGGAAATGCGGCGCTTTGGATGCGGCCCTTTCTCGGGGCTCTCCATCCAATCTCCTCATTCTGAGCCGGGAGGCCTGGCGCTGCGGCTGGCGCTTTGTCTCTAACGAGATGCTGACCGGGCGACCCAGCCCCGCCCTTCAGCACCGTGTAGCCGGACCCGGGCCCTTGTGGTGTCCAGGGTCGGCAGGGGGCCCAGCTCCATCAGCAGAGCGCTGAGCGCTCTCCACAGGCCTGCAGGGGCTTGGCCCCCGCCCCGGGGAGTGCGCATGTTCGGCCTCACTTAGCGGGCGACCGAGTGCTTGTCCGACGAAGGCCCTGCCAAGAGCCCAGGCTCCTCGCCAACCTGGTGAGCGGAAGCCACACTCGGATGATGCCTTGTCAGGATGTTGTCTTCCCCGTTTGTGTTGGGTTTTTAAGAAAACACAGAGGACGAGCAACTTTTGCATTTTCTTTTTCCCTCCTAGACCCTGGTTAAAGCGTGGAAACAGCTCCACTGTCGGGGTGAAGATGTGTGGGCGCGTGCTCCGGTGGACGGGAAGCCGCCTCGTGCCGTGGGGGGAGGCCTGCGTTTTGGTGGATTGACAGTGCCAATAAACAGAGGTGTGCACAACGCGTGCCGTTCGTATTGTCTCCTTTGCACTTTCGTCTTTCCTGACGGGACCTGCCTGCACGGCTGCAGGGTGACGACCATATGAACCAGCATTTCTTCGGGGGTGTCAGGGGAAGCAGATTTAATATCTAGCAACCAAAGAGATACGACAGTTTGAAGGGTCTCAAAATAGAAAGTTCTCTTTTTCGCGGCACAGGGCTGACAGTCAGACTCCGTCACCGGGGCTCTCGTTGCCCCTTATCTTGGAATTGCAGGCATCGTGCGGGAGCCGCGTGGCTGCCCCGGCCTCTCTCCCGAGCGGGCAGCGGCCCCCGGTCTGAGGAAAAAGTACTGAATGATAGCAATTCACTTTTTTACTTGCACCCTTAAAACCTAGGGGAACTATTAATGTTGGGATTTATCTAAGCACAAAAAGCTGCTCACAGAGTGTGATAAATGAATCTTCATAATCTAGGCGCATTGCTTGTAGGAAATGAGGCAAAGCTGCTCAGTAACTGGCTTACCGCGTTGATGGCCGAGCTGAAATTAAAACCCAAGGCCCTTGACTGCCGTCGCGGGCGCCGTGAGACGGCTTGCGAGGTGATGCACGCAGGCAGCGAGTGTTTGCGGATGAAGGGCT